ATGCTGTAATTGCTGACATCTTAGGCAACAAAGAAGTGTGTGTTTACCCTTTATTATAATAGTATAGATAGATATAGATTACCTTAATATTGTTTACTTCTACAGGTACCAAGGCGCAGTCTTAATGTTAACATACTTTACCTATATGACATACCATTTGACGCGAAAGCCCATATCCGTGGTGAAGAGCATACTTCATCAGAACTGCAGCGGGCTGGTGCCTCCGCCAGGCACCGACACCACAGATGACCAATGGTGTAATTGGGCCCCATTCAGTAAGTACGATAGCACTGCTATCTCTTTTTAATAGCAACTATAAATCTGTCATTGAAAAAAGATAGAATACCTTAAGTAGTTGCAGAACATGAGAATATTTTTAGGATAAGTAACAATATGGCGGTAACGATGGCCACTACAAACTTCCAGAATCATGTAGATTGAAATCTATGGTTCTTTTCAAGAGTTAATGAAGCGTATTCTTTCCGGCCTTTTTGTAAGGCAGCTGTAAAAAAGGACGCATCCGGTACTTTACTCGTTAATTGAAGGAATTGTTAGAACATCCTCGTTGTTTTTATACATTTTTTTAATTTTACGTCTATCTGACGTGAATTTTGTATATTTCTTAGTGTATTTCTAAGACTAAACAAATACTTTTAGATACCAGTGACGCGAACACTCTACTCGGTGCATTAGACTCGGCTTTTCTGTTCTCCTACGCGGGAGCCATGTTTATTTCTGGTGAGTATATCTTCTATGAGTGCTGATGGCTCGGGAGTTCGTGCACTAATCCACGGGTCCTGGGTTCGAATCTCGCCGTACCAATGTGATTTTCGATATTTCGAATTTCATATGTACATAATTTACCCGACCTTCTTACGGCGAAGGGAAACAACGTGATGGCATATTGGTAAAGAAATTCAATTATAAGTGTGAAGTCAACTTGCAGTGCAGCGTGGTTGACTATGGCCTAGTCACAGGGTAGGCTACGAGCCCCTCAGTGCGGACGTATAGTGAGCTGTTGATGATGATATCTGTTTGGCAAATATGTAATTTATTATTAAGGAAACTATTCTTCACTTTGACATGCTCGTAGGTATGGTGGCAGAGCGAGTGGATTTGCGATACTTCCTGTCGCTGGGTATGCTGGTCTCCGCCATCTTCTGCTATCTGTTCGGCCTCGGGAAGACCCTCAGTATACACTCCATTTCATTTTATTTGTTAGTCCAGGTAAAGTATTGGTTATCTTATGAAATTTGTTTTTTTCTGAAGGAAACAACGTCCAAAAATATACTCTTAGTATCTCCATAGCTCGGTTTATATTGATCTTATAGGTTTTATAAAACATGGAAGTATTTTATTTACTATCGCGGTTAAATTAACCATTTTCCTAACAAGCTGATGATACTTTGATTATTAATAAGAACAAAGGAACTTAACGTAATCTACATTTTAAACTCCAGTGATAATGGACGTCGACAGCCAATGTTCTAAGCTGAATCAAGGTTGACAACTATTAATGTGGACTTATTCGCTTATTATAAGTGGTGTAGCTGTCTCCCCCCTATTGGCGACGCCTGCCTATTACTAAAACTCTATCATATTTTTAGGCTGGAGCTGGTATAGCTCAAACAACAGGGTGGCCAGGCACCGTGGCCACTGTTGGTAAATGGTTCGGGAATAGCAAGAAAGGCTTAATTTTCGGTATCTGGAACTCTCATACCTCTTTAGGAAATATTTTAGGTGAGCCACAAGGTTCGATACTTGGACCAATTGCTAAACATTCTAAACAACGTTTTTCTTGCAGACTTTTATATTTTATCTAAGAAATCTAACAAAATTGAAAATTTACAGGTACAGTAATGGCGGCAGAATTCGTGGAAGCCGATTGGGCGTTGTCTTTTATCTATCCAGCGCTGGGCATGGGATTTGTGGGCACCCTAGTCTGGTTGTTTTTACCGTCGGAACCGAGACACGTGGGATTGGTGATATCACCACATGCTGAGGTACTTGAGGCAGGATTATAAAACGATAGGTACAGTTGGGGATGTACGCGGTGGTCCACTTATAGAAAATTACCTTGTTCTTTGTAATAAAACAAACTCGCGACTCTTCTTACAAATAATTTAAGTAGCAGTCATTTGCGTAAGCAACGGGATAGTAATAAAAATTGTTATCCATGTACTGACTGACTTTTTTTATACGAAAGGTTTAAACAATTATATTATAAAGTGGAACACCGCCTGATTTTGTGACTATACACGTGTTATTTACACGGATTTTATTTACAGTCCAGACATTCCCGAAGGTCTGAAGATGAAGATGAACCATCTCAAGTTATCGTTGGAGATCAGGTAAGAACTGACGATTCGAGGTTTTGGATTTTTTTAACAAACTAACTATTCAGTTTTTGTTGAATAAATAATATTCATTCGATTATTTTTTCAATTGTTATTAATAATGAAAATACCAATGGTGTTTGCTCCGATTTAGGTAAAAATAAAAGTTTCATACTTGAGATAAAACAGAATTAAAAATATCGGATAATTCCAAATGTAGTAAGGCTGTTTATATTTAATTTAACTAATAATGGTATGGAGTACTGCAATTAACACGCCGCACGGTAACCGCAACGTACACGCACCGAAACCGCACAATAACCGCACGTCACCTCCGCAGGCGGCGAGCTTGCGTCCCAACAGACACTCTGCAAACGCACCACCGGTAAGCCTATACATTAATATAAGCAAATTTAACATAAATTAATTAATTTGCATAAATTATAGCAGTGCAATGGCAACATTGAATCAAGGCGATGCAATTAACCAATCAGAAAGCGCGACGTCATGTCTGACACACGTGGCGCTCTCTGATTGGATGCATGTTTCTTTCTGCTTTCTTTTGATTGGATGGACAGATGCATGTATGTTTTTAATGTCAATAATACGTATAACATAAACTAGATGGAAGTTCTTTTTCTAGTATTGAATGGAAAAATTCTCTTTTAGTTATTTCACTCGTACTTTTAAGGCGTGTCCCACTAAATTGTTATTTATCTGATAACAATCCAACTTGTCAAACATGTGATGGAAATATCGAATTTTATTATCTTATTAGTGACGTCATTTTTAAGCTATCTGAGTCTCTATCAGCCAGTCGGACAGGCTCTTAATATTACAACACTAATGTTCTATCTACGTGTTATTACTGTTATTATGTTAAGCAGTAATTATACCACTCTAGCCTCAGAGTGACGAAGCAGACGAGAGCACCGCCCTCTTAAGAAGGCCGTCGCGGGAGGGAGGCGAGAGTGCGGTGTCTCTTTCCCGCGCGCTGGCAATCCCCGGAGTACTAGAATTCTCCCTCTCTCTCTTCTTTGCGAAACTCGTCAGTTACACCTTCTTATATTGGCTGCCGCTCTACATCAACACTTCAAGTAAGTATACAAATATACTCATTTTGTACCTCATACTGATATTAGAAATGAAGTTTGGATGGATGATTTTTTTCTCAGGGAACAAAATTTAGAAGAAATTAAATACTGTTTACTTTTTTGTTAACTCTCCACAGAAAAAGTGATCAAAATCTAGTTATAATTCATTTTACAGAATGGTTTCTTTATAGATTACTAGCTGTTGCTCGCGATATCGCCCGCGTGAAATCGAAAAATAATACAAAATGTAACCTATGTTAATTGCAGATAAAATACCTTTCTAATGGTTAAAGAATTTTTGCAATCGGACCAGTAGTTTTTGCGCATGTCAAGTACATACAAAAATCCAAATCTATTTATAATATTAGATATTGCGCTATGACCATTCGTTGCTGAAGATTTAGAATAGTACAAAGTAACTAGGATATAAAAAATTCGCAAAGTTCGGTCTTTGCGTCGTCGGGCCCTAGTTAAGGCAGGGTATGATTTATATCTGGCTGGGTCGCGGAAGATTGCGCAAGTGTTCCCGTGACCCAGCCATCGGCGGACATCAGGGACACCGCTGGGTTTTCTAGTGGGTATTCCGGCCACGTCTATTCTTTTGGTCGGCGAGCCCCACATACCCCCCTGGCAACGGGATGATGGGTAAAGGCATTTTCCCAGCGAGAAAAAAAGGGTATGGTTTATATACAATAAGGCCGACCCTACAATGCGAAGATGTTAAAGCAGGCTCTATCACAGCGTCGCTGACGCCGAAGCAGTCGGGCGAGCTGTCGACGGCGTTCGACGTGGGCGGCGTGGCGGGCGCCGTGCTGGCCGGCCTGCTGGCGGACGCGGCCGGCTGCCCCGCGCTCGTCTGCGCCGCCTTCTACACGCTCTGCGCGCCCGTAGTCAGTATTACACTACATTATATAAATCTATCTATACTGATTTTTTTATATATCATAAGGTGGCAAACGAGCAAATGGCCACCTGCATAAATGGCCATAGATATATACAATATCGGATGCGTTGTCAGAAGGGTAGGCACCCTTAATCGACGAAGGAAGAGAAGCACATATACAGGATATTTCCACTTTCTATACATCTCTTCCACCGTTATATCCACGTTCTCTTCCCATCCGATTCTTATAAGAAAAAGGATGGAAAGGAGAAAGGACAAAAGTTGGGCTACCGGCAACGTAAACACTTCTTTGATGTTAGCAATCGTAGCATATTTTTAAATAAATATATCTCATTTCTTAATAACTATGATTGCGACACGCAACGTGTTTTGTTTTGACGCTATTAAATTTAGGGATAAAAAATAAAGATATTGGAAAAATTATGTACAAAAGGGAAAAAAAAGTCAATCGAAATAAAATTGCCATGGTAACTATATTTGTGACTTTTTTAATCAAAACTCCATTTCTTATGAACGCCATTCATTTTTAATATATCAATAACTAGATGTTCCCCTGCGATTTCATCCGCAAAAAATTATGAAAATTTTATTTTATTGTTTACATGTGTCAAATTATCAATTGCAAATGTCAAAATGAATTGACGCTGACAAACCATGGAATCCTTGCTTTCTTGCTGCCAACAGCAAGAAAGCAAGGATGCCTCTCTTGGTCTATGGTCTATGATCTCTTTTCCACATTAGGGTTTTTATCCAAAATATTTACCCCCTAAGTTTAATGGCGTGAAAATATGTAGCCTAAAGCGTGACGTCAGTGTTGGGCTTTTTATTAAAAAAAGTAATTATCAAAAATATGCCGTAATTGCTGACATCTTAAGCAACGAAAAAGTGTGTGTTTACGCTTTATTATAATAGTACAGATAATATTTTATTTGTTATGTGTATCTATCAGTATATAAAAGGTAATGTTTGTCAGTTGCTGCTGTACCAGCGCTGGGGCGCGGTGTCGTACGCGCTGAACGTGTCGCTGCTAGTGCTGGCCGGCGTGCTCGTCAACGGGCCCTACGCACTCATCACCACCGCCGTCAGCGCCGACCTGGGTCTGACACTCCCCTACCCTGCCACTAATCTACCCTGTCACTAATCTACGTTGCCACTACCCTACCCTGCCCTGCCTCTAATCACTTTGCCACTACTTTACCCCGCTACTAATTTATTTTGCCACTACCATACCCTGCTTCTAATTTACTTTGCCACTACCTTACCCCGCCAATAATCACTTTGCCACTACCATACACTGTCACTATACTATGTCCTCTGTCCTAATTGAACACTGGAATTTAGTTTATAGATATCAAAATGTATTCACAGTCATTATTTTATTTCTTTCGAATTTTATATCTACTTTTTTATTGTACTATCAGGGTGTCTGGTGGTGTTACATTTTAAAACTCACACTTTTAAGTCGTTTTGTAAAAATTGAAAAGACGAGAAATAATAATCAAGGACATAGTTAATAGATATTTTAAAAAAGATCACAAAAAAGGAAACTAACTGCTATTTAAATAGTATTTTTAGAGGCGGAATTTGCCTCGTTGCAAAGAAAGCATTTTTTCTTAAAGTTAAACACCGCGAAGTGACCTGACTGTACATAAAGAGTAGAATTGGAGTAATATAGAGGTTCCGTACAAGTTGGATAAGATACGAAATGAGTATATTAGAGGAGGTTTGAGAGTAGCCCCAGTGGTTGGGAAAATAAGGAGTAAAAGGTTAGAGTGGTATGGGCATGTTATGAGAAGGGATGAATCGCATGTAACAAGGACGTTAGTTATGAATGTGGAAGGGTACATCGGTATAGGTAGACCTAGAAAGAGATGGATGGATTGTGTGAAAGGTGACATGATCAAGGGAGTGATGACTGAGATGACGTATGATAGAGTTATTTGGAGGGCGCAAACGCGCAAAGCCACTACGAGAGTAAAATAAGGCAGGGGAGATGAAGGAGAACTGTGTATGAATGTGGAGGGAGAGGGTAGACATGGTAGCTACAAGTGTTGTGATTACTTACGTTATGTTTTTTTTTCAATATAAATTTTCGGAAGATCAGCACATTTGCTGAGTGGTTATCACCAATAAATATTTTCTTCTTCATTCATTCTTCTTCTTTGAATAGTATTTCCCCGCAGGTACTCACAGCAGCCTGGCGGGCGACGCCAAGGCGCTGGCCACCGTCACCGCCATCATTGACGGCACTGGCAGCATCGGTATTACATACTTTTACATTTACTTACAAATACTAACCAAAAGTCTAGTAATAACCACCAATAGACTAATGGTTTGTGGTACGGACTACTGTACTTGTAGTCGAGGGTTCTAATCCCGCCATTCGACTGTCTTGAACCTAGTCCTAGCAAGCCTAGAGCTTAGTTGGATTGGTTAAAGGAAATATTAGTAAATTAACAAAAATCTACTGATTTTAAATAAAAATATTCGGAGATTTTTCTAAAAAAAAAAGCATTGTAATGATTTTTTAAAATCGTTTACGTAATTTTAGAGTTTATTCGTTAAATGATAATGTTAATATTTACTTACTAGCTGTTGGTCGCGACTTCGCCTGCGTGGAATTAAAAAAGTAATAAAAATGGTACTGATAATGTAGATTTTTTGTAATCGGTCCAGTATTTGAGTTATTTCAATAAATACAAAAATAAAAAAATCTTTCCTCTTTATAATGTTAGTATTGATTAAATTATTCGTTTTGATTTTACTTACTAAAGTATTTCAACGGCCGAGTGATGAAACGAAATTTAAATATACAACAGCGTTTTCTATCATCTGAATAAACACCAAATTTCTTACAAAGACGACTCTCAGATTGTAAACGGCGCTTACGCAAGCGTAAATACTTCACTACGTAGCGATGTATTCAAGACGAGCTGTCGGCCTCGAACTTCGAAAAAAAAAAAAAAATGTAGCCTATAATATATCCGTTTATGTCAGCTACCCTTCACTGAAAGTCCGGTCGAAATCGGCCCAACCGTTTCGGAGATTACCCGAACGCGGCTTGCGGACTGACAGACAGATACACAAACAGACAGACAAAAAATTATTAAATGTGATTTTCGTTATCAGCAAAAGAAATTACTGAAATCTGCAATTTTTCTTTTGATATTACAAACAGACACTCCAATTTTATTATATGTATAGATAGATTAGTGTTTGGTCATTAGTGACTTGTGAGTGTGAGTGTTGTTGCCGTGTCAGGCGCGGCGGTGGGCCCCATGCTGGCGGGCGTGGTCTCCTCCAGCGGCTCCTGGTCGCACGTCTTCTACATGCTCATCTCCTGCGACCTGCTCGCGCTCTGTCTGCTGCTCAGGTACCTTCTTCTAGAATGTGCTGCGTCTCCACTTACTTTATAACCATCTTTACATTGTGTTTTGTCTCGCTTTGATTTCTGAGATTATATGGAGGTGACACTACTCGATATTTAGTTGTGCGACTAAACAGTTGTGCGAATGGTTCCTATCTTAATGCGCCGTTCATATTTGGCCAGTACAACTGTACTACTAACTAGTACCGCTGACTGGACTGGCAAACATCTGGCATAGATGAACGCTAACTGGCACCTGTGAGTTCTTATCTATGACTGACCGTCGCAACTGTCTTACTGTACTGGCCAAGTGTGAACCGCACGTTACAGTTGGGACCTGAAGATCTAATCTAGGTCTAAGAAAAAGCTATTATTAATACGGTCCGATTAGAAGTTAGTTTTTGTAACGCTTTCGACAAGATCTGATACTTTTCTCGATCACGTTACGAATTTCTCGCAAATCTTTCCTAATAGACCCTTAAAAGTGAGGTGTGTTTTATTCTACTAATATTTTATTTCCAGGATAGTAAAATCTGAAGTATTAAAACTACGACAGGAAAGAAGACTTACGTCTCCCAGAATAATAAGAACAGAGTAATCAAGTATTATTTTAGTTAATTCTACACCAGTATTGGGAAAACTTTTCAAATATAACGCCCTACGGTGCTATAACATATCTATTTTCTTTCCGATAAATGAGTTCCTATATTTTTTAAATATTTTCATAGAAAAAGATTGTCAATAAGTGATTAGTAAAAAAAGGTGTTTTATTTAGTGAATCCGAATGCAATATTTTTTTAATATCTACGAGTGTTCGAAAGTAAGTAACCTAACGCATCTACCAGTAAAGATATTCAATATAAATAGAGTGGGTATTACGAGCATTTTCCTTAAATCTTGTCATTTTAAAATCGAATAAAACACCGCTAACTGTCAAATTTCATAAACTCCCAATAGTAGAGTTTTAAGCGTTTCGATTCGTAGTGTCCCTTCTATTTATATGTTAAATATCTTTGTTACCAGGATTTTTTTATAGTCAACAATTCTAGGAAACTTGTACCCGACTCTCAAAAGTATCGATTCGTCTAATTTTTCGTTATTGGCAACATTTGGATAAAACTTACATTTGATGTGAAAAATATAATTATTTTTATATTTCAAGATTTATATTAGAATCCATTCCACGTCTGCATTTTGTAAAATATTCCCAATTTTAATGTAGTTTATTTATTTTTCTAGACAATTTTCTTGTACAGATAACTAATATTGAAATCAGGGTTTAAAGATCTGTATAACAATTTAATTTTTTATTTATGTATTTATTCGTAATTTTATTATTATTTATGTAAACTGCCATTAATTTAAAGAATTCTTTTATAGGTATGCATATTACGTTAACAATATGAAAATATAGTTAGATTTTTATCAATTCTAACTGAAACATTTACTTTCAAACTACGCCATGACTTCTACAGATTAAAAAAATTCCTCACATAGAAAATTCGATTTGTTATTAAACTAGAATAAGGGGTATTAAATTCTATTTCGTGTTTCGTTACTCAACAATCAACATAGATAATTAAAAGTGTGACAATGTGTAAATCGGTCCAACCGTGTACTTAGTAATCTGTGTATTTATGTACAAATGACATGTATAGATTAAAATAAAGTTAATAATAAATTAATATGTCTTTTATTTAATCTGAAAATAATCATTTAAATTCACCGTTTTTTATAATTTTAATTCAGTTCAACTGGTTACAACCAACTTATGGCCGAATTTTTTAACGACATTTAACCCTAAATTCGATTGTTTCCAATTTTAAGTATGTCGAACAACTAATTAAAAAAAGACAACTAGCTTAGAGAAAAATACGTCTTTTTTTTGTACTATAGAGTGTTTTTAAAATATAATTTTTGCTAAACAAAACACTATGTGGAATTAAGGGTTAAATATGTCAAAAAAAGGAATTATAAAAACGCGCTTTAACTTCTGATATTAAAAAATGACGTCTAACAGGTTTTAAATTGGTTTTATGAAGGTAAGGCCCTTTACCACCGAATTGTAAATTGTCTGATAATCAAACGAGTAAAATACATGATGGCAAATATCCGATTTTGTTCCCTTATCTGACAGTGACGTCATTTTTAAGCTATCTGTGCCTCTATCAGCCAGTGGTGGCACAGGCCCTACGTGTTTGAGATTCCTTTCAGAACCTGGCTGATATTTTGCTTAGAGAAATGAAATAAAACACAATTTCAAGAACATGAAACTTTATTTAGCTTACATTAACAATGTTAAGGCATCAGAAAGGCTGGACGCTATTTGTACTATATATTATTTTATACAACAAAATGCTCTTTTTAACATACCCAAAATTATATTAAATAACATATACAATTTAAATAAAGTATAATTGTAGACAATACCAACTTGGTATAACAAGATTCAAAATTTATAGTAGCTCGAAGATAAGCGCATGTTTACTAACGTCTAGATTTCGTCAACGACAAAGTATGTTTTATCCGTGCATTTTACGCACAGTAGAAGCACAAAAGCAATACAAATTTTATCAAAGAAGTTACGATTACAGTTAGTTATGAAATTAACACTCGGAACTCAAGCTGCCTTAAAGTTTGAATCGCACTGTACTCTTTTGTAACCTGAAAAAATCCTTACATTTTGAATATTCAATTAGAAATATACTTTTAAGATAATATTGGGTATGTTAAAAGAACTTACATTAATACGTGTACGTGATATTCGCGAGTGGACCCGGCGCTGGCAAAAAGCGTTCCCAAAAAACTTCATAATAACTTGCAAACATTTAAATAAAATATATATGCAGCATACAAAATATGTTTTAAAAATATGTCAGATTACTCTATTTATTGTCAGTATTGCCATATTATTACGTTTTTGGAGTACTGTTTATATTATTTGAATGAAAACATGGATCATAGATGTATAATCTATAAACTGGAGTATAAAAGTGAGGCATAAAAGGCCTTTTTATGCCTCAGTTTTATGCTCTTTTTGAGGCAAATTTTAACAATCTTTTACAAACCTAAACATTTCGATTAGATCTATAGATTATATATTTATGTATTATAATTATTTATAAAGCTAAATATTAATATTATGTGATATGTTAATAATTATTGTTCCAGTAAAATCACATTGTGATTTGATTTTTGGGTTTGAAGGTAATAAAAATTATGGGTCCTGCCCTAATTGGTGTTTCTCTTAATTGGTTTTAAAATAACCTAAACATTAAATCACAAAAATAGCATTTTTATATTTGTTTCTTTACAAAAGTAAGGGATTTAACCATAGTTTGTAGAGGAAGGGCAAAGAACCGTTTAATTTTAGATGTAAGATAATCTATTTTTTTGTTTTAATTGGGCTATAAACGATTACTGTTTTAAATTATGTTGCATTTATTTAAAAAACCCAAACAAATTGCGTCGGAAGTTGTACAGTGAGTGAACGCGACGAACGCATGACGCCGTAGGTGCGACAGAGAAAGAGCATTGCCGCATTGCCAAGTTAATATTTGTTTCGTGTGTAAGCGTGTTCTTACAGTAAGAGCGTATTTACAATTGTCTAAATATACTTAATTTTAACTTAACCATACTTAGCAGTTGTGCCATTTTTCATAAATCATTATTAATATTTCCTGTCAAAGTAAAAGAGCATTTATTTAACGTTAGTAACAATTTCATAACGTAGAGGATTTTTTACCTGATATTTTTTTTTTAATTTTCTTTTCACTTTATAAAAAATGGCACAGATACTAAATCTGTGTATAATAAAAAAAATTACACCCTTTAAACATTTTTAATATTGTTCTTAATAAAGTTTGCTTTCAGAAAAAACTAGCAACACTGGTTCCGTAAGCTGTCAAATGTCACTTCGCATTATAAAGCATTATTTGGTCGGATTTGTATCGTTGTATCTCTATATTAAGATTGTTTATAAAAAATAACCTAAAAATTTGCAAAAAATATAATTTTAAGTGTCCAAATATTTAAAATCTACACAAAACTTACTTTACAAGAGAAAAATTGTGCAAAAAATATTTGTGTTTATATAAAATTTTTGCTATGTCGCATTTTTTTCTCCTTCTAAATGCATAATTTTTTAAAAAGAAAATGGCAAGAACTTTTTGGACAAAAAAAATACATGACCACTAATATTTCAGATTTATTGATACAAAATCCTTTTTAAAGTCCAAAAAATATTTTTTTTCATACGTTAATTTCTAAAAAAATATAGTATGGGATAGCAATAGCGTATCCTTGTGGTTAAGTACCAAAAATTACTAAAACAACTGGCCAATTCCTAGCAAAATTATACTCGTTATACAAAACTATATCTTATTTCACTTAACAAATCACATATAGTGAAGAAATACTAACCAACTTTAAGAAAAGAAAAAAAATCACAAAAAATATATTGAATAATTTTTTGTACCCCATACAAAAAAATAATTCGATAGCTTGCAATGCAACTATAGTTTAACAAAATCGTAACAATTCGCCATAATAGCGAAGCTGCCGCTACTCTTAAAGGGGATGGAGACTGGAGATATTTCCATATCTAAGGACCCCAAACAACTAAACATTTTACACTTTCCTTGTACAAAATGGTACATGGACTAAAATAAGAATTTTAAATAACCATCTATTAGTATTTCTTCAGAACAAATATTAACAGACAAACATATAAAGATCTTAAAAATAAATATATACACACAAAATGAGTACCACTTTGAATAGAGCCTGTTCACTTTCATATGTTAATTACGTTTTTAATATGGTCCTTCGAGCATGATACATTATAATTTTTAGCACCGATGTTATTTTACTGATGTTTGTATATATCGAATTATTAAATTGAATAGTTTGTCTTGTTTACAATATAAGAAAAAAAAATGTATACATTGTGATGTTGGGCCATTTAATAAAATATACATATATAATGCGTTTACAAACTAAAATTACTAAAAAAACACTGATCACCAGGAGAATCTTATTAATCGAGTGCAAAAACAAATCACGTGCAGAACTATTAATTATGGCAACATTAATAAAACCTATTCAAGTACAACTAATGGACAGGGGCATAAATTTTAAAACATCAACATGACAACACTAAATTTAACAGAATTCGACCCGTATTAAGTCAGTTACAGATTTAAAAAAAATCACGACTTTATTTGATCCTTAATTGGCAAGGATTTGAAAGGATTTTTACCTAATTGTAAATAAAAAAACGCATACTTTTATATTAAGTATGCTAGTCTTGAAAGACCAGAATCTGTCCAAACAGATATAAAAACATAAGAAAAAAATCTTAAGTTTCTTCGCTTTACTTAATCATTAACTTCGACAAGCGTTTCATTAGCGTTAACATCACTGTCGATAGCTGGTAAGTTATCAATAACTGAACTTAAAGTTTCGATTGTATTACCGTTATCGTTATCCGCTATAACTTCAGTGACGTTAACTGCATTAGCGTTATCATCAACACCTGACGCTAAATCTTCATAACAAGGTGGCATTTCAACGTTATTTCTAGCTTCTTCATCAACATTAACGTTATTTACTTCTCTAACGTTATTTAAACGTTCCCTACTTAAGTACTCAGGTGGGGGTCCATATAACTTGTATCTCATAGCTTCAGTATAAGGCGGTGGTCGTACAGAATCATCTAAAACTGGATAATTCTCAAAATTACCACCTAAAAGTCTTATAGTACGACCGTTTAGTGTATAAGTCTCATTAGAATGTACACGCACGAAATCTAGATCTTCTATATTGATTTCTGCAACATTCGGTGTGTCTGGTCTCGGTTCGTTGGAAGATCTGCGTCCGAACCTAGGTATGCTAAGTTGGAACCTACCTAGTTGGAGTGTTAGTGGTCTTTGTGCTTGGTTGATATGTTGGATGACTCTCTCGAGGGTGTTCCTGCGAAGAGCTCGTCTTCTGAAGAATTCGACCGGTGTTGCCATATAATTGAGGTCTGTGGCGTTGTCTAGATGTAGGTGAGCGAGGTCGCAGTAGGTGGGGCTGCGGTAGTCGGGCAGGGGGGGGCGGGCGCGGCCGGGGGAGGCGGTGGGGGAGGAGGTGAGGGAGGAGGAGCGCACGTCAGTCATTTCGACGTCACAACATTGCGTCGGTACCTGGAAGGTTACACTAATATTAATCAAATAAATATTCTAATTCTGTAAATACTAACGGCGCACATTGGGCTGAATCAAGTTGCTCCATAGACAACTTTATCTGATGTTTGAAATGTCTCTTTTTTTTGCTTAAATGTGCTTTG